ATAAAGCCACATCACATATTAACAATAGCGCGATACTGTTTATCAAGGTCGAATACGGTGTTGATAAGTCTCTCGTTGCCGAAATATTTTCTTTATTATAAAATATTTGCGTGAGGAATATTAAATTATAGAAATAGTTTAATTTATTGATTAAGATTAATTGATTATTTATTAAACTATTTATCAAACTATTTATATTAAAATTTTTCGTTATGCTAATTATTTGCATTTATAATTCGATTATTTTACTTCGTGTTTTCTCACAATCCCTTCCCCCCAAATTATATTTAGATTGTCAAGTAAAGTGATAAAGTAACACGGATGGAATATATTTGTGACTCTAAGTATTAAAATAATAATTATTGTCCGTAAAGTTTGCAAACATCGAGGTAATTATTTAATATCTCGGATTTCTTCACATTAAATCAATTTTCGATTAAATTGTATATTGTTTAGTTAACCAGGATTGAAAAAATTTAAAGCTTTGGTCGAAATATTTAATTCTAATATTGTTAAAGAAATATTATAATAAGCATCGATGATCAAAAGATCATAATATATATACATATAATTCTCTTCTTGTCCCCTTTTATGTATCCTCTGTTTCAATTTTTATTCGCGGTAATGAATGATTACGATTCGATAAAGATTTATCGTTGCGATATACAGTTTCATATCGTTTATCAAAAGTTAATTAATTTTTAATTATTAATATTTATAGCAAATTATGTTTCGATACTAATTGTAATTGTGTTTATTACAAAAATTACAATATACGAAGCGTTTCTCATCACTATTTTATTACTCGAGAGTCATCGTGCGAATAATGACAAAGTCGTAACGTATAATGTGCTATTGTTTATATTTTATAATGTCAAAGTCGAACACAGTGTCATCGATAATTCGTTGAAATATTTGATATGTTATAAAATATACACTAACGCGAAATATTAAATAGCAGAAATACTCTAATTTTTATTGATTATTAATTAAACAATTTATCACGGAGCATTTCGTTACGTTAATTATATGCATCTATAATTCAATTGTTTTACTTCGTGTTCTTTCATAATGCAAATTACATTTAGATTGTTAAGTAATACGATATCCGTTAGCTTTATTTATTTATGAATTCCATATCGCACAGAACTGAATATTCTTAAAATAAATTATTAAATTATGATTCCGAAAATACCGTGTTCTTTCCGCGTTCTCTTCGCGTCCTCATACAAGATTATCATTTTAACAGAAAAATTTTATCGCTGTCCCTCTCGTCAGATAATATTTCTAAATATTGCTAATTAAATATAAAGAAATGTCGAATAAAAGAAAGTGAAGATTCGATATGATAAGTCAACGATTAAATATTAGCTTCGCAAATTTTAATTTTCGATCATCTTCGATATTATAGAATCACGAGTTAATTATTATGGATTTAATAATTTGTTTTTTCAGTTATATTTGTATTTACAAATTTTTTTTTCGTATTGGAAAATATTCATAAATAATAAATAAATTAATAATTAATAAATTATCGTTGCGAAAACACCGTGTTTTTATCGCGTTCTTTCTCGCGTTTTTAGACGAGATTGTTTTAATAAAAAAGTTATCATTGTTTTTTCTGTTAAGTAAAATTTAATGAAAGTTGCGTGGCTCGTACGAGTACCGCCGAGGAGTCGAAACGATTTTTATCGTTTTCGGAGAATTATTTCTCACCGATTCTTGTGAGATCCATTCGCAACGTCTAGTTCGGTGCCCTGTTGAAAATTGGGAATTTTTATTGTAAGGTTGAAGGAACTAATCTCAGGTTTTCCTGGCAATTTCCGAAAGCAATGATTTCGGTAGTAATTCAACGACAATACACTTCTTTAACGTCAAATTAAATTAAATAATATATATTTAGATGAGAGAAATGTCTTCTTGAAATCTTTTCTTTTCTTCGTTAAAAATGTTCTATCATTATTAGAATTGGTATTATTATTGTTTATATATATAATGTCAAAAAGATTTAATAGTAAATTAAATATGGATATATAGCGTTGTGTATAAAGTTGAATTTTTCAAGTAATTTTATATTGTAATTAATTTGTATAAGTTTTTTGATAAAAATGATTACGATCAAATATATTTTTATTTAATATAATTTGTCTCTTTTGAAAAATTATTTCTAGATGCTAGGGATATTAACATTAATTTTTAGTTTATTTTAAGAAACTATTTGCAGGTGTTGGACATCCATCGTCATTTTGAAATATTAGTTTTTAGATATATACCATTATATATATACATATATGTATAATAAAATACATGCACAAGATCATGTATCCAAATTATTTTTATAATTTTTAATAATGTTATATATTATATATACGCGAAATTATACATGAATGTTACATAAAATGTGCGAATACTTAAAAATTTCGAGACAAATCGAATGGGTACCCCTATATCAGTAAGATATTGGAGGATATTAAAAGAAAAGAAATTATTAATTTAAACGTAATAAGAATAAGAATCTAGAGAATTAATCCAGAATTAATTGATTAAAATTATTTGATTTATTTTATTTTGCACACTGTCCGAATTGAAATTTTTTAAAATCTTGCTGATATCGGATTCGATTAGTCTCGCGCGCGCAAACGGTACCCCAAATTATATGTGTTCGCACATTTAACACAAACTCCAATGTATTTTATTATTTATAAATATTATTTATAAAATTTTATACAAACTCCAATGCATGTATTTTATTATTTATAAATATTATTTATAAAATTTTATAATTTATAATTCTTCGTAATCATATATCATTTCAATAAAAAAGATCATTATATTCATTTAATTTTCAATAAAGAAGTATATTTCTTAATAATGGAAGAACATGTTTTTTGATGTGCATCAATTTCGTGTATTGAAGATAATGACGAGAAATAATTGTCGTTAAATTATTACTGAAATCATTGCTATCGAGAATAGTCCGGAAGATTCAGGATTCGTTCCCTCCTACAGTGAAGTTCCCGACGTTCAATGGATCACTTAACTTTTCGTCGCAGATTGATCTTGCAAAATCTAATGTAAAATCAAGATGTTAATCGTTCTCCATTTTTAAGATCGCTCCTTTTTTTATCGGATTACCGGTATGTCACTTGCGTATCTGCAATTGAATATTTTGAATATTATCGATTTATTTATTCATTGCGTTTTATCGCGAATTTTAAATCGCGATTTATCTTATAATTTAATTGTTGACTTATACATTAAAGCTTTGTTTATCTTTCCACGTCTTTGAATATTGTTTTTTATAGTTCGTGCAAAATGCTGGTAGTGAAAATATTTTCTTCTATAATATGACAGACGATCGATAACTTTATTAATAACTGTTTTAAACGTGATTCTTTATTTCTTCTTTATTTAAATCTTATTAAACTCTACAATTACATCTATTATTAGAGGGACTTTGAAAATCATTCGTCCCGTTACCTTCTATTAAACGTAGCCATAACGCGATTTTTAATTATATTTTAAACTTATAGAGCTCATTTCATCTTATTCAGCTAATCATGCGCGAATTAGGATATGTGTTTTATTTTCAATCGTGAAATTCATATAAAGTCGCGTATATTAATCGCAAATAAATCGGACAGTGAAATTTATGTTCATAAACAATACGGACCACAAATGTTTGCCAAAATATCTTCGTTTGTCATCATTTGTGTAATAATTATATCGCACGCGTGTCTATTGATGGTTTCGATTATTATATTATAAAAATTATGCGTATCTCGCAATCGATTATTGTAGATTTATTTATTCGTCGCGTGTTCTCACAAATTTTAAATCGCGATTTAACAATTAAATTACTTAAATTATTACTTATAGTAATTTAATGCGCCAGTAATGCAAATACTTTCTTTTACAATCGAAGAAACGATTAATAATTTTAATCATGTCTCTTTTGATCACGATTATTTACGTTATATAAAACTTATTAAATTCTATTCTATGTAAAAATTTTTAGTAAATTTTATTTTATACGTATATTTTAGACAATTTCGTGTGATAAATTATTCCATGTAATAAGTTATTTTGTATTAAATTTTGAATTATATTATTTAGAAATCCAAGAAACGCAAATATAATAGAATAGTGTGTCCGATGGAATCAGGCATAATTGATACATATGCAAAGGAAACAAAACTCATCGATATGTTAAAATTTATCTCGTGCCTATCTCCGCGCTAGCAGAAATTTTCGGCTCTAAGAGAAATTATTTCCGATCCTTATCTTCCGCGATATCGGCGATACCTAATGAATGTCAATGAAAAAAAAGATTGTCCGTACGACAGAAATCAATTAGGAGAATATAGAATGTTACGTACTTGAATAATTAATGGCACAATTAATACATTTTTTTTTTCTCTGCTATGATATTTGTAAACCTCAGCTTTCTCCTTTCGCAGCGAAAGGAAAAATAATTTATCCGTCCGCTAAAGATAACGATGGAATAAAGATGCTCCAAACACGAGTAAAAAATGTAAAAATAGAGAACAGAGGAAAGCATTTTTCTATAAGAACTCTCCATATTATTAAATTCGAGAAATAAGCTCTGAAGAATTTGATGATCATATATAAAACACATTTAATTCCTTCCAAGAGATCTTATATTGATGAATAAAAGATATTTTCTAAGCAAAATTAAATATTACAGTAATTTCTTCCTGTTTTCGAATTATCTCTGTTCGAATATTGGAGTCAAGAGCACAAATGTGGACCATATTAGAAGTGTAATTAGATATAATAAGTGTTATTATTTAAGCAAGAGCAATTGTGCTTAAAATATTTTTGATATTTTATATATATAAATCAACTAAAAAGCGTTTCTTCGCGTACTATTAAGAGCTATACTCTGTAAGCGTAAACGCGTCGCATGTTTGCTCGCGCAAATGTATGTGCGATTTATAAGCTGCGAAGACATGAAAGTAAGAATCCAGTATTACTCTTTCCATGTTCCATTAAACTTGATCCAGTCTTTGTCCCATGATCTGACACCTATAACTTCGCATACATTGGCATCATTTCACCTCCTCCTTTATCGAAGTACACCTACGCAGCGGACATAAGCTGTCATAAGAGTTACCTGCAATCAACACAAATAACGTCATATATTTCTTAACTAAGTCAAGTTCGTTCCGGAGATAATATAATAGACGGAAGTCTTATTTTATCACGGTTATAATCGTGCTGAAAAAGTATGTAACATTTCCATTTAACATTTAAATTTACTTGGAGTTAATGATATTTATCTAATTAGAATTTTCTGCTGGTATAATTTTAATAATAATTCTAATAAATATTTATATTTACTTTCTACTATTGATTTTGATCTTGATATGTGGGTCAACATCATGACCCTGAGTAATAAACAAAATAAAAAAAATGCGTTTTAACGTCTTAGGATTTTAATTATACTGGATAGGACTTAAATTATCCTGCAACGATACCCGATGCGTTTGTATTATAAGAATACTTTATAATACAAGCATAATTACAGATTTTCTTATCGTTCTGCAAATCTGAGATATTTAAATTGTACTATTAATTATACAAATGAGAGAAAGTTATTTTTTAATACGTAGATTAATATATTTTGTTAATATTACAAAAATAAGCTGAATTCTGAATTATTAATATAGTAACACAATAACTATAAAATTACATCTTAATATTTATTTATTTTAACATCTCTTAAGTTTTTTATTATGTTAACATATCAACATATGTATATTAGTACTGCATTAATTATTACTTGCTAATACACATAAATTAATAAATGTATATTAATATGTAATATATATATATATATATATATATATATATATATATATATGATTTAATAGAGGATAATATTACAGATATAGAATATAATTTTAATATAATGTAAAATACTTATGAATGTTGTACATAATAAAATATTATATGTTTAATTAATATTGTAAAATACTGTACATATAATTAATATTTAAATATATTTATATATAAATATTAACAAATTAACAAATAGTTATATTAACATATGTTATTAATATTTTAAATCCTATAAAAAGTATTTTTTACGAATGTGGTTTATTAATATAGTATTAATATTTTTAATTTAATAATAAATGATATGGCATAATTCTTGGAGTACGCTATCTCTATAATATTTTTATTCCACATTATAAAAAACCTTTCTTAATTTTAATTTAAAAATCTATTTTGTGAGAAAAACACGATTATTGATTTGATCGATTAGAACGATTTTTCGTCGTTTTAGTTATATATCCACCATATAAATTTGAAAGAGTGAACAACAACATAAAAAATTTATTATATTCTCTTATATACAATACTGTAATATTATATTCTAGTGTTAATAATTTACGTTTTTTTATTAATTTGCTTAAAGATAATTTACCGATACAAACTTGTAATAATATAGTTAATAAAATTTTATTTGAATGTATATTGATAATTGTAAAAATTATCAAATTTTTGGTAGGAATATACTACTTTTAAACAGTATAAAAGAATTCAAATATATATATTTACAGATATTTTTGCATTCTACATAACGGCCTCTTATGCTTTAGACCTACGCGAAATAAACTGTTCTGCCATCTTACAGCGCTCGATCGCTAGCACGAATTTGGAGTGGGAAGAACGGCACCGTGCTTTGCTATTACATATCATTTCTCGATCGAAACGTCTGTTAACGACCTCAGAAGTTGTGTGTTTACATATGGCATACACATTTATTGTAATATCGCCAAGTGTTATTAGTCTTTGGAAGTTTCTCGAAATAATAAGAAATCACAAGTGCGCATGTATATCTTTCATGTTACAATGATAGTGGATAAAACATTAATTTATTGCAGCTAATTATTGTAACGAAACATACACTTGCTTAGAATTTGTAGTATATCTCATTATACAGAGTAAGTTATTCAAAATTAAGTTTATTTTTATATATTTGTCTTAATTCCATCTTTTTTCCATTAAATCATGGTAGAGACAGTGCTGTGTCTAATTTGTCCGTTTGTACTTTCTAACAAAAATATATTTTTACAGATATCTAAGATAAAAGTAGTATCATGTTTCTTAAACTATTGTTAAGCAGCAGTTTAACTATCATCGTCGCTGCGGCTTTTTTAACCGACGAGATAATTAAAATATCTCAGGAAGAGTTAAACAGGCATTCAAATTATATATTACCGCATATTTATGATATCATCGTTACACATATCGAAGAAAATATTCTTGTCTGTAACTGCATTATACGTATAGAGATTAAACATCCAACATCAAGCATATTATTGTATTATTTACACGTAAAAAATATTAATCTAACTATGTTTTATTCTTCATATTTTAAAAATGATAGACATCAAGAACAGATCATTTATACATCGGTAAAATTTATGTATGATGTTGAGAAAAACATTGTTAAATTTATATTCCCTAATGATCTATTGCCAGGGTATTACAACATAAAATTAGTTTATAATATAACTGAAGATACAGGCCTAAAAACCTTTTATAAAAGAGATGAGCGACAATGGTAAGTAACTGTTAAAATGTTAAATATAAGTAATTTCACGATGTTTATGATCAAGCCCTGGTAAATCATTTTTCTATTTAAAAAGTATTTTCTAAGAAAAACACATTTATACATAGACATGTACGTATTTGAAATGTTTCCATTCTTAATTATATGTTTCTTAAATCATCTTTTTGTAAAAAATTTTGCAATTTAATATTATCATTATTATTAAAATGAATGTAAGCTCCAAATAAAAATTAATTTAATTAAAGTAGGCAGCAATAATACACGTCTTATACAGCATTTTATTGTCAACACTCGAACGAAATCAAATATTCCGGTAGAGGTTTGAATTGTTTTCAAAAATATAAGTAGATTTTGAAGGATTTATATTTTTATAAAACTTGCTTATATGAAAATTGAAATTTTGAACAAACACTTAAGTTTTACACTGTTTATTTTGACAATATCAAATTTTAGGAAATTCATTTCTAATATTTAAAAAAGTCTATAATTTAGAAGGAAAACATTTCAAAACACATGTTTATATAAATTTTTTTATCCTTATAGTTCATAAAAGTCATTATCAAAATTTGATTAGATCATAAACACTTACATAATACAACTTTTATAAACACTCTGCATATAATACATACAATTATACAGGGTGTTTCATTTTAATCCGATCACCTAAATTTCTCGGAATCTAAGCAAGATAGAGAAAAATGTTTTAGACAAAAGTGTATGGTTTCAAGGGGGACATAAGATGGTGTCATTAGTTTGATCTTGAAGAGCCACCTGAAGGACAACTCCAACTTTTTAAATGGGCACCCCTATATGCTTTTGCATATTCTTGTAGCTCATCTCAAGAGCTTTTCAAAACACTATAATTAAGTTAGTTTTCATTAAGTACTTTCCAAGTTATGAGGCTTGAAATCATTTTTTAATTTTACATAAACCGTAAAATATCTTGTAAAATATTCATTTTTGATTATTTTACCTTAATACTTTTATGTACAAAATAATGA